ACTGTCTGTACAGGTCAACATCTTGTGCAACAGTCAGTCCTGGCACGATGTTCTTTGCTACATCAGACGGCGGTGGAATGTAACTCTGACCGTGGTTATTTTAAATGAAGAAATCGTTCGTTGTTGTTTTTCCCACGATAAATAAAAGTAAAAGGTCCGTTTGAGAAAAAAAAATAACAACAAAAACAAAGGAAGAATTTAACGTTTCTTCTCTTTAAAAAGTGGGAGTAACAAAAGTTAAAAGTCCAGTAGAAAAGAGTAAAAAGTCTGTCCAGGAAAAGCACCTGTAGAAGAGCCTGGACCTCAGAGCCCAGGAGGTCCTGGAGGTCCTGGAGGTCCTGGAGGTCCTGGAGGTCCAGATGATTTGTGCTTGAGTTCCATCAGCTTCCTTGACTCCTTGACTCCTTGACTCATAGACTCCTTGCTTCCTTGACTCCTTGACTCTGTTATTTTTGCTCGTGGTGAAGATCATGGTCTGGAGATAAAATCCATGCAGAAATAATTCAATGAAAGAGAATCACGTCGGGGAAACAAAGCTGCGTTCACTGTCGTCTTCTGTGTTTTATCCTCCAGTTCACTTCCTGGACTGCAGACCTCCTCCTGCTCCTCCTCCTCCTCCTCCTCCTCCTCCTCCTCCTCCTCCTCCTCCTGCTTCTGCTCCTGCTGGTTTCTGACCGGCCCTGCGAACTGGAACCTTGGACACTGGTATCTTGGTGCGAGGAGGTTCTCTGGCCTGAGGGAGGTGGGAGGCAGGCTGAGGAGCAGCTGCGTGTTTCACGGGGATCTTTGAGTCACGTGGTAAACTGCTGACGACCTTGGTCCGAGGAGGAGGAGGCAGCGGGTTCTCCTCCTGGCTGTGTCTGGTCGTGGCTACGGTCGACTCAGAGTCGTTGAGTTTGTCTCTGCTCCTCCTGACGTCGTGCGAGTTGAAACTCCTCTCGTCTTCCGACACGGGCGTGGGCGGGTCCCTCCTGGTATCTTCATCAACGTGATGGTTCTCCCTCCCTGGTAGCTTACCTCCTCTCCCTCCTCCCACCACTGGGATCTTGCTCAGAGCTGACGTCCTCCCTCCTGGAGTCCTCCTCTCCCTGGGAACGCCCTGCAGAGACGTCCTGCTCTCAGTGTGCAGTTCCTCTGGTCTGTCTCTAGGCGGCGGTCCTGGTCTGATACCAGCATCATCCAGGTGACCAGGAGGAGAAGGTAGAGAGGAGTCTATACAAGGAGCAGGGACAGGAGGAGGTTCTCGCTGAGCCTTAGATTGAGAAACAGACGCAGGAGAGTCTGTAGCTTCAGAGACTTGGAGGAGGCCGAGACCAGAGGAGGTTCTGGGCTCTGGGTGTAGGATTGGAGCAGGAGCTGACGGAGTTTTAGGGCCTTGACCCAGAGCAGGAGGTGGGGAGGAGGAGGAGGAGGAGGAGGAGGAGGAGGAGGAGGAGGAGGAGGAGGAGGAGGAGGAGGAGGAGGAGGAGGAGGAGGAGGAGGAGGAGGAGGAGGAGGAGGAGGAGGAGGAGGAGGAGGAGGAGGAGGAGGAGGAGGAGGAGGAGGAGGAGGAGGAGGAGGAGGAGGAGGAGGAGGAGGAGGAGGAGGAGGAGGAGGAGGAGGAGGAGGAGGAGGAGGAGGAGGAGGAGGAGGAGGAGGAGGAGGAGGAGGAGGAGGAGGAGGAGGAGGAGGAGGAGGAGGAGGAGGAGGAGGAGGAGGAGGAGGAGGAGGAGGAGGAGGAGGAGGAGGAGGAGGAGGAGGAGGAGGAGGAGGAGGAGGAGGAGGAGGAGGAGGAGGAGGAGGAGGAGGAGGAGGAGGAGGAGGAGGAGGAGGAGGAGGAGGAGGAGGAGGAGGAGGAGGAGGAGGAGGAGGAGGAGGAGGAGGAGGAGGAGGAGGAGGAGGAGGAGGAGGAGGAGGAGGAGGAGGAGGAGGAGGAGGAGGAGGAGGAGGAGGAGGAGGAGGAGGAGGAGGAGGAGGAGGAGGAGGAGGAGGAGGAGGAGGAGGAGGAGGAGGAGGAGGAGGAGGAGGAGGAGGAGGAGGAGGAGGAGGAGGAGGAGGAGGAGGAGGAGGAGGAGGAGGAGGAGGAGGAGGAGGAGGAGGAGGAGGAGGAGGAGGAGGAGGAGGAGGAGGAGGAGGAGGAGGAGGAGGAGGAGGAGGAGGAGGAGGAGGAGGAGGAGGAGGAGGAGGAGGAGGTCAGGGGAACATTCCTAATGACAGGAGCTGGAGGAGCCGTGTCTGAGGAGGCCGCTGCTGGAGGAGGTCTGGTTGAAGGACAAAAGTTATCTGTAGAAGATGATGATGGAGGTAGTCCAGAACCAGGAGGAGGTCCAGAACCAGGAGGAGGTCCAGAACCAGGACAAGGTCCAGAACCAGGACGAGGTTCAGAACAAGGAGTAGGTCCAGAACCAGGAGGAGGTCCAGAACTAGCTGGAGGTCCAGTACCAGGAGGAGGTCCAGAACCAGGACAAGGTCCAGAGCCAGAAGGAGGTCCAGGTCCAATTGTAGGTTGGGTTTTTGCTGCAGCATTGTGGGTAAATGGAGGACGATCTGGACCAGAGACTGTTGAGGTTTTGTTCTGGTCCACGTGGTTGGAGACGAGGTCGGGTTTAGAACCAGTCACAGACGATGAAGCAGCTGCAGGTGTAGGAGAGACGGGTGTAGGAGAGACGGGTGTAGGAGAGACGGGTGTAGGAGGGACGGGGGTAGGAGAGACGGGTGGAGACCCTGGAGGAGTTCTTCTACCTGGACTTGAAGAAGGTTTGTACCTGGGACCAGAGTCCAGTTCTGAGTCCAGGGTTCTGGTACTGACAGGAGGTCCACCTGGTACCGATGGCTTCACTGTCGTTACAGGTGGAGCAGCAACAGGTGGACTGACGGTGTCCACGGAGGTGGAGGTCAGAGGTGGAGTCGTCCTGACCGCAGCAGACGCCGCGGTGGGGGCGGAGCTCCGTGTGGATCCACTCGTGGGTGGAGCGGTGGTGGAGAGTTCACCCCCGGGTGATGACGGCTTCAGGTTGGTGGTCAAAGCAGGGGGCGTGGTCTGTGTGGAGAGGAAGGAGCTCAGTTTGACAGGAGACGCCCCCGGACCGGAGGCTGCTGATTGGACGGTCTTAGTCGCTGACGGTGAACTGACGGTGAAGGAGGTCAGGGGTTTGGAGAAGATAGACCTGTACGACGGTGACCCCTCACCCCCCCCTCCACTGAGGGCCCGGCTGGCTCGGCCCCACTCTGCCTCCACGTCGGCCATGATGTCTCCACCTCCTGTGATGGAGTCAAAGGTCAGGAGGGAGGAGATGTCCTCCAACAGGGAGCTCAGACTGGCATCTCCAGGTTCCAGTGGAGGGTCAGGGGTTCGAGTCCCGTCCAGGTCCGGTGAAGCGGTGACCTCCTTCTTTGGGGAGGCGAGGCTCCTGACGGTGTCGGGGCTGCCCCCCCCGGGGCTGCCCACTGACCGCGGCTGACATCGCGGGGTGAGACTCAGGTCTTCTTTGATGATTTCCACGCTGTTGGAGCGCGAGGACATGAGGAGCGGGCTGGGGGGGCTCTCCTCCTTCTCCTCCTTCTCCTCCTTCTCCTCCTTCTCCTCCTTCTCCTCCTTCTCCTCCTTCTCCTCCTTCTCGTCTCTGGAGCGCATCTTCACGCTGCCAAAGAGACCCTTCAGGCCGCGGCGTTGGCGGCCCAGCGGCTGTGACGCGGTGTGGACCTGCCGGTCCCCCGCCCCTCTGCGCCCCCCTCTCAGCAGCGACAGGAAGCTGAGGGACTTGGCCGAAGTGGCGGAGGAAATGGAGGTGTGAGGAGGAGAGGCTGCCAGAACGCCATCTTCACCGAGGGGCTCCTCGTCCGCCTGCTCCTTCTCTCCTTCGCTGGCCTCCCGCGTCCTGTCCGGGTCGTGGTCGGGGTCGTGGTCGTGGTCGGGGTCGGGGGCGGCGCTCTCCGACAGTCCGTCCAGCGTTCGGCTCCTGACCACAGGTGTCTTGTTGTTCCCGTCACCTTTGTTCCTGATGGAGAAGATGTTTCCTGGCTTTTTGCCGAACAGCTTGAATCCTTTCCTGATTTTCCCACCCGGCTGCGACTCGGCAGGCGGGGGCTCCGTGTTCTCCGTCTGCACCTCCATCGTCCCCTCCGTCTCCCTCCGTCTCCTGCGTCTCCTTTGTGTCCTTCAGTCCTCGGCTGCAGGTCTGGATTCCCAGGACTGTGAAGTCAACATGGATTCTGCCGCGGTGCAGATTTATCTCTGCAGCTCCGTGAGTCGCTGCGATGCTTGTGTCTCTCCCTCCCTCTCTCTCCCTCTCTCTCTCCCTCTCTTGCCCCTCCCCTCTGCCTTCTCCTGTCTGGCTGCTCGCCCTGGTTGCCACGGTAACTGAGGAGCAGAGCAGTGTTCGTCAGCAGTGTGGAGCCGGAGGCCGTCATCAGCCGTGAAGGCAGAGGTTTCTGGGATTTTTCTTTTTTTTTTTTCTTCTTCTTCTTCAGTCTGATGACTGTGTTTACACAACAGTCTGAGACAATCACCACATTATTACAAATAAAATGAGCTTCAATAGAACCATCTGGTCCAGAGGTTTGTCTCTGTGTGGACAGTAAATGTGGAACCATTGAAAATCAATTCATTTATTCATTATTCTGTTGTTGTTGTAGTTGTTTATATTTTCATTTTCCTGTTTGTCAAAATGATATATTTATTTATTATTAATCATTAATCAATGTTTTTAATATATATATTTATTATTAATCATTAATCAATGTTTTGCCCAGTGTAAATGATTAATTAACTGTTCAATAATTAACTAGTTATAGTTACATTTTAAACAATAACAATAATTACCTTTGTTGACACTTTAACGTCTGCTACAGATTTGATTTCATGTTTAATTCATTCTGTTTGATCCAGAACTTCTTCTTCTTCTTCTTCTTCTTCTTCTAAACAGACGATAATAATCGATCATCGTCTCCTCTGTCGCTCTGACCTATAATTGCCGATGTTAAACTCGTTATCTGAGCTCCTGCTTCAAACTGGGCGTTAACCCGTCCCGCGTTAATGCTTTGTTGACGTTCTGTTATTTATGCCCGCCATTAACGGATTGTCCCGTGCTGTGGAACCAGTGCGCCCTCGTGTGGTGGTTTTAGTAACAGCAGGCGGCTCAGTTGACGCTGAAACTAAAAAAAAAAATCTAAAATTAAAGCTGCCTCGTTCACGTGTATGGGTGTGTGTGTGTGTGTGTTGACCTAATTAAGTCAAAGCAGGTGAACAGTCAGCAGCTAACGCTGAAACTCCTCTATTTTAAAACATTAATTATTTAAAAACCTTTTTCTTACATGCCCAAAATATTACAACAAGTACAAAGAAGTTTGTCAGATTTCTCTGTGGCCCAGTTCCAAATGACCCACGGCCCAATGTTGGTTTGTGGCCCAGTGGTTAGGAACCTCTGCTTTACATTTCTTATAGGTCATAACGGTCGTTCTCTGAGTCCAAACTAATAAGTCACTAACAACCAGAGGTTAAGACGTAACATATAACTAATTATTAACCAGAGGTTTAGACTCCTAACAAGTCTCTAAGGTGAAGGAACTGATGTCAACGTTGGCTATTTATTTTTGTTTTTTATTTTTTACAAAAAGGTTTGGAACAACAACAGGAAACAACAAGAACAACTGAACAGTAAACAGGTAAAAAAACAACAACAACTTTGAGTCACATGATGTGATGTTTTCAGGTTTGAAGAAGTCCTGGATCCTTCAGCTCTTCAGTCCACTGAGGACCAGGGTTTGAAGATCTGAGACCTCCATGTCAGTGACCAGTGACCAGTGACGTCAGGGCTTCAGTGTGAGTCAAACTATAAACTTTACTGAAACATCGATGTGTGTTTTCTGTACAACGTGAAAAACAACAACACGTGACAAAGAACTGGTCCTGCTGATGTACTGTAGCTGTGAATGTGTGTGTAAATGAAGGGAGGGAGGAGGGGGAGGGAGGGGGAGGAGGAGACAGATGTGACCTCGTCTCCTGTTCTTCTGTCAGATGTCCTGCTCCAGGAGGACACCAGGGTTCTTCTCACCGTCATGTGACTCGGAGCGCAGCGCGTCGTACGTGCGTCGGTACAGAGAGCGAGTGACCAGAGTGATGATGAACATCTCCATGACCATCATCTGCTGGTTCAACACTGGACAGAGACACAGGTCAGAGACACAGGTCACAAACAGAGGTCACAGACAGAGGTCAGAGACAGAGGTCACAGACAGAGGTCAGAGACAGAGGTCACAGACAGAGGTCCCAGACAGAGGTCAGAGAGAGTTTTTTTTTTTTTTTCAGTCTCGCGCTCTGAGAAGTTTCTTACTGGACGCTCGAGCTTGAGAAGAGAAGGGAGGGGCGCAGGCGATGGTTCCGTCCAGGGCCAGGATGTTGATGATGGATGTCTGCAGTTGACTTAACACCAGGACCAGCTGAAGAGAAAAACATATTCAGTTTGTTTTAGGATGAAGGTCAAGACGCTGAGTCGACAGAACTTCAGTCCTGACTCAGGCTGTTCCACCTGACCAGTCCTGCTAACACTGAAGTGTCCAGCAGGGGGCCTGTGGTGACCTATGTGACCTCATCCCAGCTCTGGTTCACCTGGTTCACCTGTTGGCGACTCACCTGGTACATGGCGTATTTGGGTACGATGTTGAGGCTGCGGAGGTGACCGTTGGTGTTCATGAAGACGATGGCCACCGGCCAGAGGGAGATGAGGGTGAAGACACCCACCAAGGGGTTGATCCAGATGGCCGCTCCAGTGACCTCTAGCTGAGGAAGAGATAATGTTTTAACCTGCGTCGTTGGTCACACTGGTATGAACCTGTTCATCATACTACACTTTACTACACTTTACTGCACTTTACTGCACTTTACTGTACTTTACTGCACTTTACTACACTCTACTACACTTTACTACACTTTACTACACTTTACTGTACCTTACTGCACTTTACTACACTTACTTACGTCTGAAAGGTCAAAGTTTCCGTTTGTCCACAGGACGACAGAGAGGACGGAGAGGACGGTCTTCAGGATGGCGTACTGTAGCGCTCCAGCCTTCAGCCAGAACAGAAGTCTCCTGCAGCACACAGAGCTACGGGTTAGCTAAAGGTTAGCTAAGGGTTAGCTAAAGGTTAGCTAAGGCTAAGGGTTAGATAAAGGTTAGCTAAGGGTTAGCTAAAGGTTAGCTAAGGGTTAGATAAAGGTTAGCTAAAGGTTAGCTAAGGGTTAGCTAAAGGTTAGCTACGGGTTAGCTAAATGTTAGCTAAAGGTTAGCTAAGGGTCCCCATCCAGAGAGGACAGGTGATGAGAGGGTAGGACGTTGGTACTTATAAATACCCTGACATGGGCACCTGGGGCAGACAGGGGCAGCAGCAGCAGCAGGGTCCAGTACTGATCTTAAAGGTTTGACCAGAGAAACGCTTCAGAAACACAGCGTGTCCTCCCAACTCCTCCACCAGGAGGACCAGGACCTTATAGACCACCACGGCAAAATAACTGGACACAGACAGAAGACCAGGTCTGAGTCTGGACCAGAGACACAGACTGGACCAGGTCTGAGTGTGGACCAGAGACACACACATACTTGTGTACGTACCAGTTTGAGGTCATGTCTGTGAACATGACGGCCTTTGGAATCCACATCCCCAAACAGGCCATGGTGGAAATCACCTGTGAAGGAAGTAGTACTGCGATGAGTCTGAAAGGTAGCAGGTGGTTGGAGTTGGCTGTAAATTAACAGAATGTTCCCCCCTGCACAGATGAATCGTCGCCAACCAAAGGAGAGAAGAGGAAGAGAGACCCTGAGGATGAAGATGACGATGAAGACGATTAGTGACCCTAAGCACCCCCCCCCCCCCCCCCCCGCCCCTCCTCCTCCTCCCCCCAGTACTCACTGGAGCTGCACCGTTGATCCACATAATGATGGTCTTCTTGGGGGAGGGCAGTTTTTTGTAAATGTACACACACTGTTCCAGGTACAGCAGCAGAGAGACGCTGGACATGAAGGTCAGCATGGAGTACAGACAGACCCCGAACACGTCCAGCTCTGCACTCAACAGGACAAAGAAGAACGACATCACAGTCAACGCACACATAGGGCCAACACGTGGCTCTGGGCTCCAGACATGTACCAAATTGGCAGACGTTAGGACAGGACTGTTGATGTGTCTGTGTTTATTCATGTCAGTGTCATTGTCGGTCCAAACATTTTTTTTTCTTTTCTTTCTTTGCAGCCCTCTGCATTTCCTCATTCCACCACTAGGATTCCATGACCCCAGTAGTGGGTGCCACCCTCCAGTTTGGGAACCACTGGTATGTAGTACTACAGTGTGGTGTTACAAATACTCTGAGGACCGGTCACTTACGTGTAATGATGTCGATGGCCAGCGGGGGCTCCCCTAAACAGGCCGGGTCGATGGTGGCGTTCAGGCGTTCCTGCTCCATGGCGTGCAGATAATTTATCAACAAAAACAGGTCAGAGGAGTCGCTCCGACCCAAACACTGGACTGGAACTGGAAAAAGAACAGAAAAATAAAACTGATCTGTGAACTCTCCGTCACGACCGCAGGTCCACGCGTGTGAGGAACAGACGAGAGGGAAGGAGCGCTCCCAGTTTGAAGGTTTATAAGAAGTTAGTGCTGCTCATTCATTCACAGAGCGAGGCCCGGGTAATTACAATAAAATCCAAGGTCAGTGAGAGTCGGTGTGTGTGAGTCAGGGCAGCTGAACTTTGAACTTTGACGAGGCGTGTTGTTCACCGCCGCCAAAATAAAACGCCGTCATCAACAGATAAAAGCTGCAGGGATTTGATC